CCGCCTCCGGCTCTAGAGGCGAGTTGGGGCGAGTGAAACCCCTTTGCCGCCGCTCAAATACAACGCTCTAAGTGCCCACCGAGCGCTCCCGGGAACAGCCGCCAAGTGCATCCTTAGGAACCCCCGCGGACGCAGGGCGGGAGGCTCAGGAGTGCGGCAGAGGCGAAAATGGGCTCTGACTCGGGGGATGTAGCGGATTGGGGTAATTTCGCCGCGCGGAAAGGTCAGAGAAGAACGCTCCTCTGGGGCTCCGGCGGTTTGAAACCCTAAACCCTGCCAGGGGGCTGCGGGTCTGACTCTCCGCGGCAGCCTCTCCGGCGGGGTCAAGTTCCCTTCCTTAGAAAAGAGGTACTGGGATAGATGCGCCAAGGTGAGCCCTTCAACGGCAGCACCTTGGGCGCTGCTCGGCTAAGAGTTTCAACCAGTGCATCTCGAACTTGAACGTCGACGAGGATGATAAAAGCGAGAAAAGCTTTTGCTGATTTATTCTAAATCCGGCCGCCGGGCATTTCGGGTTCCCGGGACCCGCGCTGGCTATAAATGCGCTGTGCGGTGCGCACTTGAAAACGAGAAATAAAACCCTGCACTGCACCTTCCTTATCGAGGAACTAAAGCAGGCAGCATGAGGCTCAGCTAAGGTGTACCTCGAATCCCTTAGTCTGAAGGACTTTTTACAGAGCTTATAAAGTTCATTAACATCGCACGCGAAATGAAGAATTCCTTCCCACCCAAAGCGCTCATTTTAGCGGCAATATAGAATTTCCCTTCCTCTGCCTCTCTAAGAAAGGAAAGGAGACATTACCGCATTCACTCCTGGAACAATACTAAAATTTAACTCTTGTCATAATACAAAATAAAAAATACAACGAAGCGACGTGTTGGGTGGATGCTGTAGGACAGATTTTTCCAAATTTGCTGCGTGGGGGAAATTCCAATAATGTCCCTAACAGGAATGAAATGTAAGTTTTCAGAGGGATTTTTAAAAGTAGTATTTGGTTAGTTGGAATAAAAATAACAATTTCATTGGGAAAAAAACAATGGCTCATTGACGTTTTTCTTCAGCGTTAGGTCAGTATATAACTGTAAGTGGTCTCAGAAAATATCTAAATATCTTACATTTTTGCTGTTTTAAAACCCTCTCAAAAATAAAATATGCCTGTAGGTAGGATTAGAGGCTCAACCATTCTCTTAAATCAACATTCCCCTCTGTGGGTAACATCTTTTTAAAATTACGTTTCTAAAAGTGTATTTCTAGAAAAAAAAACTTTCTATTTCAGTGACCACTTCAGTGAATTAAAACCAGGGCACGTATGTTGCTAGTGGTTCTGGAGCAAGCTGGTGCAGTTGGTATAATGTCATAGGGATGGAGAACATTTTTATGAAGAGTAACATGTTCATATCAGTGCAGGTGAATAACCTGCCATACACACAATCCAGTTTTCGACATTACAGTTTGATTAAACATTTCCCCCCTTCTGGAGTGGCTCTGAGATTATTATACTTTTGAAATCCAATTCCTTTGGGGACAGGAGTCTTTCCTTCTGCCACTATATCCTTCCCTCATAGGAATGTTTCCATAGGATGCATGGTTGATGTGTGATCTGTTCACTCCAGCATCATCATTGTGTAGCTCACAGGTAGCAAGCAGAAAGTTTTTAAGTTAATTTTTTTTTGTAATTTAGGATGCTTAGTAAACATTTTACCCTCGTAAAAATTTTGCATTGCCACTGCTGTAACAAAGGCAATAAACTAGGTTATAACAAGCTCTATTTTTTTTTTTTTCAGAGTCATGCAGAGTCATTTAATAAAAGCAGAATGCACCTGTGGTAAACTACGCTGTAGAACCGAGGGTGTCATTATAGTTTCATTGGAATGTTTTATAGGGTTTGATATTTACAATATGAAGAGCAGCTTTTAAGTATTTGTGAATCAGCAAAAAAAAAAAAAAAGCCTTAATTATTTGGCTAATTTATGTCATACGTTGTAGAGATGCATAGATAAAAAATCATATGAATGTGCATATTTTATAAAAAATAGAATTTGGGATCCAACATACCGTGAACATCTCTAGATGGATTCATTCCGTGTACACATTCTGAAAGAACAGAAAGTGGGAAAATAAAAACAATTGGGTAAATGTACTGACAGCAAACACTAAATTCACTGATAGTTGATAAATTTCATTCTAATTGCAATAATTACAAGCATTAAAACTAAATTTCCACCCCCCTCTTTTTTTTTTTTTTTTTTTTTTGTTGTTGTTCGCTGATTGCCCCTCACTCTTTTTAGCACTGGGGAATTTTATAGCATATTGTCCAATTTGGGCACAAAAGTAGCTTTGAAACAGTAAACCAGCAAGTAAAAAATGAACTGTTACATATGCACATAATTTTATGTGACTTCAACCAATGTTTTCCATTGATAGTTAGTAGTGAATCTTTCTCTCTCACAGAATCACCTTTTTAAACCTTGGTATGTGAGGCCAGTGTGATTTATGAACATTAGACATACATTTGGAGGAAGTAGACGTGTATCAGAATTCAAGGTGAAATCAAGACCAAACCCTTACTTCATACCAAAACACTTCAAATTGGTATTACAGCAGAGGTGAAATGCAAGAGGTAAAAATACGAGTTTTCTTTAAAGCAATGAAGATAAACAATTTTGAATACCTCCTCTGAAAGAAACAAACTGATAAACATTATCATAATTTACTTCCAATGGGACAGGTTGGAAATATTTCCTCCTTGCTTGCTCTACTCTCCTTCCCTTTACTAATTTATCCTGATTTATCTTTCAGAGTATTTATCCTGGAACCTCTCATTCTTGACATAACAGATGATAGCAATTTTTATTGAAAATATCTGTCATACGATCACATCCAAATATGTGTCACTATATTGCTGCTGCGTGTCCAGTTATAGGTAAACCCATTAAGCAAAGTCATCTGAAGCTTCTTTTCTTTGAACATCTACAGTAATGTTCTGCTTTTGACATTGCTGGAACAGCCTTGTATATTGAAAATGCTCAGCACTGAATGCTTAACACAGAGGATACACCATTTTTCAGAGCCTTCGGATTTGAGCATTTGCAATGTCACAGCCCGACTTTCAACCTTACTCCACAATATTAATGTAATATATCTTAAAAACACTTTAAAACTAAGAAAGGAGGTAATTATTTCAGATTTCCAGACGCTGTTTAAATAGGAGAACGAGATTTACAGCTCCTTAGTCTTATGTATATATACATACATATATATATATATATATATTTTTTTTTTTGCCAAAGCAAAAAGAACAACTAGAATAATAAGGGGTTCTGAAGGACTACCCTATAATGAAAGAATGAAAGATTAAAGCAATTGAATAGGTATAGTTTCCACGGAGCATCCTCAAAACACCAATCACTGAGAGATTGTGGTTTGCATGTATATAAAATGACTCTGTAAAGAGTTTTTTTTATAAATAGAGCAGGGAAAAAAATCATTTGCGCTTATGAATGATAAATTAAGAAATATCAAATGTACCCTGAAGTTCGTAAGTTTACTTTTAATAGGCATGGGGGAGGGGGGATCCACAACAGTAATACTGACCAGACAGCTGGATTTATATGGAAGAGACCCAGCAAACCCTACCACCCTGGACATTCCCTCCTGAGACCCTGAGAAGCTCCCCCAGGTCAGAGGCTGGGGAATAGAAGAAGCAAAATAGAAAAATAAGTGTTCCAGTTACACAGCTAATATTTCCGGGATTCTGGGAGAAAACCCAAGATCTTTTTTTAACCTAAAAACAAAGGCAAGAGTGAGTGAGTTTTGGAAGGTGTGCATGTCATCTGTTGGGAACCGTCCTTAGTTTGTCCTGTGTCAGTAGCCTTGAGGACACAGTGCTCATGCCATTTAGCCTTAAGCCCGGAGAGGGTGGGTCGTCTGCAGGAGAGGTAGCCCCTGTGGAGGTTGGCAGTCATTTGCCCAGAGGGTTGTGAAATGTGCTAGAACCTAAACCGCAAGAGAGGAGAGGTCTTGGGGGTTCATGGCAGCAAGAGCTCAATTTGGCCAACTTATCCACCAGCTCGCTCTCTCTCTCCCTCCCTCTCCCTCCCTCTCCTTGCAACTACTAAGTGCCAGGTAATGACCAAAATGCTTGTATATTCCTCGCTTCATTTAATCCTTGGCAGGATGCCATTACCAACCCCATTTTACAGACTGGGAGCCTCACACTTGGAGAGTTTAGGAAACCTGACAAAGTCACTCCACTCTACGTACACACACACACACACACACACACACACACACACAACACAGACGCATGTCCACCTATGGGTCTGAGCTATGTTTCTTTTTTATCACAACTACGTATTTTCATGGGTATCTTTTGGAGAGCTCTGAAAAACTAAACTCTGAGCTCATCTTTCAATTTACCCTCTCCTGTCTCATTGTCTCCATTAGAAACTATCCCCGAAATTCTTTACATCGCAAATCTCGAATACTTAGGAGTCACAGCCCGAGGTTGTTTCTGGCCATCTGTAGACTTTGAGGAGCAGGTCAAGGTCCCTTTAGCTTTTCAATTCTTTTTTTTTTTTTTTTTAATTTTTTTTTTCAACATTTATTTATTTTTGGGACAGAGAGAGACAGAGCATGAACGGGGGAGGGGCAGAGAGAGAGGGAGACACAGAATCGGAAACAGGCTCCAGGCTCGGAGCCATCAGCCCAGAGCCCGACGCGGGGCTCGAACTCACGGATCGCGAGATCGTGACCTGGCTGAAGTCGGACGCTTAACCGACTGCGCCACCCAGGCGCCCCTAGCTTTTCAATTCTTAATAAATGTTAAATGGCTTTCTAGCCCTCCCGCCTCCACTCATTCAAAATGGCATTTTGAGGACTTTCCCAGGTATGAAGTATTTGATTTCCTCCCTTCAGCGTATCTGTAAAGCTTTCTATGTGCCAGGCAGGGTGCTGGGCTGGTTGATAACAAAGGACAAATAGAGGAGAGTGACAGAGCGTCATGGCTATTGCTGGGTGTCATGGAGTGTCATGACTCCAGGAAGATGGTGGGAGGAGACACAGGAAAAAGAGGGGGCATACCACCTGGCGGGGGTGGTACTTGGGTTGGCTCTTGGAGGTTGGGTAGATTTTTACCAGATGGTTGGCAGGGCTGGAGGAAGGTTTCAGGAAGGTGGGAGGGGACAGGGGAGAAGGCGCTCCTGGCAGAAGGGTCAGCATGAGAAAGACATGAATTTCTGAAACAGACCCACGCGTCACTCCTGGTGTCATTGGAGAGTAGGTTTGGGATGAGGGCGCTCACAGAGGACACAGTGCTGGCAGACATGAACACAGGTCGTAGGCGGCTTATAAACCTGAAGAAATTTGCATTTCAACCTGAGGCCACTGGGTTCTATCAGAGCCTTGAAGTCTGGGGAACATCGTGATTAACACCTGTTTGAGGGAAGTAAATGTGTCAGAGGTGGATGGGTGAGTAGGAGGGGGTAGAAATGAGGAACGGGGGAGCTACTGCAGTTGTCGGACAAGGAATTGTGAACATCTGCATTAAGGTGGGGACAATGGAGATGGAAGAGATGGCCGCAGAGGGGGGGAGAGGAGTCTCTCCTGCTTCCGGCCCAGGTGCCATTACTGGCGGGAGGGAAGACCAGAAGAGGAAGGGTTTGGAGGTCGACCCGAGGATCTGGCTTTGGATGTACAGAACGGAGCTGTAGGTGCTGGTGGAGAAAACAGCAGTTGAGGGCAGAGGTCTAGGGTACAAGTAACGAGTGCAGAATCGTCACACATCTGTGGTGGTTTCACATCTCGCCGAGACAGTGTCCGGGGAGAAGGGAGCGCTGACAGAATCTGAGATTGTCAACATCTAAGGGGTTGATTAGAAAAAGATGGACCTGGGACGCCTGGGTGGCGCAGTCGGTTAAGCGTCCGACTTCAGCTCAGAGTCCTGTCTCTCCTTTCAGCATGATCCCATGAGAGTTGAGCCCGGCGTGGGGAGGCTCTGGGCTGATGGCTCAAGCCTGGAGCCTCCTACGATTCTGTGTCTCCCTCTCTCTCTCTCTGCCCCTCCCCGTTCAGCCCAACTCTGTCTCTCCTCTGTCCCAAAAATAAATAAACGTTGAAAAAAAAAAAAATTAAAAAAAAAAAAAAGAAAAAGATGGACCTGGACCGACCAAGGGGATTGAGCCAGGTAGAGAAAGAGGAGAATAGGGTGTTTGACACAAAAGAAGATGGGAGTTTTGAGAGGAAAGCATGAGTCTCAAAGGCCAAGGTCAAGGAGGGGCCAATGAGGATGAGGACTGAAACAATGACATTGGATTTTCCCTAGAGGATCCGTGGTAACTTTTGCTAGAAGACATTCAGTGGAGCAGAGGATGGGGCAGTGAATGCATGGAGGGAGGGGGGAGCTAGGTGCCTGTTGGAGGAGGGAGGGGAAAAGGGGGGTGGCAGGGAAAGGGAAAGCCCAAAGTTGAGATGTGTGCGTGCGCGCATGCCGGTGTGTTGAAGACATGAGAGAAAATTAACATCTATCGTGTACATTTTACTGACGATCAGACTCATCAGCTCCCGCGCCAACCCAGCTCTTCTCGCTCTTTTCACCCTCTGGTCTCCAGAGTGGGATCCACGGATTTGCCTTTGACCTCATCCAGTCTGCTGCCGAGTCCTCTTTTTGGTGTCTTCGTTGTAATTTACCCTCCTTTTTCTATCCCTATTGCCATCATTCTGGCTCAAGTTCTCATGACTTCTCACCAGATCTCCTGCAAAGGTCTCCCACAAAGGCGCTTCTATTAATTTCATGTAGTACTTGCAGATTAATCTCCCATACCACTGGTCTGCAGACGTGGTCACAGAACACATGCCCTACGCACCCCAGCTTCAGAGCGAGCTCTTTTGCGCTCTCCTGCAGGATTAAGGACTACCCTTCATTCCCATCTTGGAGTGGTCTCAGATCCCTGTGCCTCGAGTGAAATTTTCCCTCAAGGGCCAAATATACTCTTCCTCATGGTCTCCGTGTCCTCTGGGTGACCCTTGGACTATATTTTACTTTATGTTATAGCTATTTGAGTGTATCGAGGGTGGGGTGCATAAGAGCCAAATAA